TTTTTTCATTATATAATAAGCAATTGTGCTCTCTTAATATTCTTACCAGTTAATTTTAAATTTCGATAATATTTTCCACGAATTTTATTTCAGAATTTTTATTAGAAAAAAACATCAACTATCCTCTTATTTGATATGTGAGATAGATTACGACGATCAAACTGTAGTATTTTCATTCGTTTTCTGCAAATTGCAAACTAAAATTTTGTGCATCATTTGCTTTTTTTTCAAAATTTGGACAATTTTAGTTTGCAACTAATAATATGAGATTTAATTCATCAAAATTTTGAAAAAATAGATATATGAGTAGATACATAAAAAAAATAACCTAATTCAGTTAGGAATAGAAAAAAAAAACTATTTGGAAATATTTGTAAAATTTGAATGAAAAAATAATATAATAAAATTAAAATAATTTAATAACGGTGAGATTTCTCTATTAGTGGTTTTGCTTTTTAGTTTTGTTCTTTTTCACAGATTATAAAATATTTATAAAACTGAAAAATTCAAATAGGACAAGAGTAATTAATTCAATTTTTTTAATAAAAATAGAGTAGTGAAGTAATCAAAACTAAATTACTTCATATATGAATAGAAAATATTAATTACGTGATAAAATTTAGTAATTACTTGGAAATCAAATAAGAAAGCACAACCAAGATAAAAATGTAATTTTTAAATTATTTTATATTTCGATAAAAAAATATTTTACATCAATATTTTCGATTTTATTTTGTTTATTTTTATKGATGATTTATTAAATTTTTAATTTTTTTTTTCACGGAATATAAAATATTATATCATAAATCGGCATATATGCGAGTTTTTTACCTAGTTATAAAGAAAAATTGATTTTAAAACTATATTAATAAACTACACATACAAGATTGCCTTTTTATAATTGCTAACAAAACAAAGGCCCCTTGAAGGGAAAAAAAGCCCAGTCTGATAATTGTCTTAATCGAGCTACCAAAAACAAAATACTGAAATTCCACGTGTACCCTAAACTTCATCTTCTTCCTCTCTCTCTTTCCCCCAAATTGAGCTGCGGCGGCAATTCTATTTCTCAGGCGACGCAAAATCCATCGACCTAAAAACTCTGGGCGCGCTCAATCGCCGACAAATGTCTTCAAATTTCAACGCTGAATCAACGAAGACGAAACGATCATCTGTACTCACGACGTAGTCTCTGATATGAGCTAAGAAAAGACTTTAATTTCTGATCAAGAAAACACAAAAAAAATGGATGGATCAACGACGAAAACGAAGATCTCGCAATCTCGCAAGAATAACAACAAGTCACACAAGAAGCACGAAGCAAACGGGAAACAATCTAACAAGAGACAACAGCAAGAAGAAGACGAAGGTGGGTGTTTGAGATCATGGATCTGTAAAAATGCATCGTGTAGAGCGATGGTACCTAAAGAAGATTCCTTTTGCAAGAGATGTTCTTGTTGTGTCTGCCATAACTTCGATGAAAACAAAGACCCTAGCCTTTGGTTAGTTTGTGAACCCGAGAAACCAGATGATGTTGAGTTTTGTGGCTTGTCGTGCCATCTCGAGTGTGCCTTTCGAGAGAAGAAAGTGGGAGTTACTAGTCTTGGAAATCTCATGAAGCTTGATGGGGTTTTCTGTTGCTACTCTTGCGGCAAAGTTTCTGAGATTCTTGGGTAAGATTCTTGAGGATACATAGTTATTATGTTTCTGATGGATTTGCATTTGCTTTATGTAATCCAA